GCCGACCGCAAGAGACACCCTCTCGAATTTCGAGTAGGTGACAAAGTTCTTATCAAGCTGAGGCCAGAACAGATTCGTTTCCGAGGACGCAAAGACCAGAGACTCGTGAGAAAGTACGAGGGACCCGTGGAAGTCGTTAAGAAGGTGGGGAGTGTCTCGTATAAGGTGGTGTTACCCGCTTGGATGAAGATCCACCCGGTAATCCATGTGAGCAATTTAAAACCTTACCATCCCGACCTTGAGGATGACGAACGCAATGCTGTTGTGCGGCCCGCCATCGACTTCAAACGGAAGGAAGACAAAGAAGCAGAAGAGATCCTTGCAGAGAGAACCAGAAAGGTGGGGAGACCCGTTCGAAAAGTTCGAGAATTCCTCGTTAAATGGAAGGACCTACCCGATGCAGAGACCAGCTGGAAACGAGAAGAAGACCTTGAAGCCTGGAAGACGAAGATCGAGGACTTCAAGTTGCAGCAGTTGACAGGGACGTCAACCGTTTAAGTGGGGGAGAATGTTGTGGGCATGCTTGTCCAGGGTGTGTTACCCATGGTCGCATGTCCAAACCATCCTCACCACTCGCTTTCCTTTCATGTCTTTAAAGCTTTCTAGTGTAATTTTCTTGTATCGGGTTTTTGGGGTTGTAGGTGGAATTTGGCCGAGCGGCTTTGGAACTAGGTGTGTATTAGTAGGATATGTAAGCACGCCAAATTTCAAGCCAATCGGAGTTCACACGGGCCCTGTAGGCCACCGAGTGACTCCTCGCCACTTAGGACGTCTACACCTGCCACACCAAAAATGCCTTATAATGTACCTTAGGGGGGACCAAGTAGTCATCAAACCTCCCCCCGACCAAGTGTTGTATACTTTCTTGCAATCAAAGCTTTCTTGCATCCAATGTCTACAATGCTTGTTTTAAAGATGTTTTCAACTGTTTTTCTCTCTCACGTTTTCTAAAACCAATTTTCTCCTAAAACGTGAGCGGAGGCTAGACCCACGACCGAGATTGTCCGCAACTTACAGTTTTTCCTGGCTGACTTGCTCGTTTGAGCTAGAGCAAGTGCCGCACAATCGCTCGAGCTGCTTCGAAAAGGTGCGATTGTGACACTTGGCAAGCAGACATCCTTCACAAAGTTGATCTGGATGCTTGACATATGGCAATCCTTTCACCATGCCCTTCCTGGATAATAATCTTAAGCCATCAAAGTTCAAATGCCCAAGTCTTAAGTGCCAAATCCATGATGAATCTTTTAAACACGACTTCAAACATTTTGTAACATCAGTTTGAATGTTTAATGGAAACATTCTATTCTTCGTCATTTGGACTTTAGCAATCATATTGTCATGATGATCTCATATTGAAAGACTATAATCTTTCGTCAAAATATTGTAGTCTTTCTCCAAGAGTTGTCCCAAACTCAAAATATTGTTCTTCATATTTGGCACATAATAGACATTAGAGATAAACTAATGCTTCCCGTTTTTCAAATTGATAAAAATCTTACCTTTTCCTTTTACAGGGATTTTTGTAGCATCACCAAATATGATATTGCCACCAACAGATTCATCCAATTCCACGAACATGGATTTGCTTCCGCACATGTGGTTGTTTGCACCACTATCAAGATACCACAAACTGTTCTCACATGTTTCTTCATCTCTGCATGCTAAAAGCAATGATGGTTCACTGCTTTTAACATCTTCTTCAACGTAATTGACATTTTCTTCTACTTTATTTCTGCACTCCGAGGAATAATGATCGAATTTATAACAATTATAACATTCAACTCGGCTTTTGTCATACCTCCTATCATCATTTGACTTTCCTCCATACGACCTCGAACAATTTTGTCTGCCACGACCTCTTGACAAATTGGAGTTGAAATTACTCCCATCAAACTTTCTTTGACCAAAGTTTCCTCGACCATGACCTCTGAAGCCACCACGTCCATGACTTCTACCACGACCATGACCTCGATAACCTCTTTCTTGGCTATCTTCTTTATCTTCAACTGCAACTTTGATTGAAAGAGTTGTTCGGTTGTCTGTTTGCTCTTCTTGAAAAGCTTCTCTTCATGGGCTTGCAAAGTACCTATAAGTTGATCAACGGACACTGTACTCAAATCCTTTGATTCTTCAATTGCTACAACGATGAAATTAAATTTTTCATCAAATGAGCGAAGTATCTTTTCAACTACTTGCTCATCATTTATCGTCTCACCATACCGCTTCATTTCATTTACCACAGCTAGCAACCTTGAAGTGTAATTTGAAATTGATTCAGACTCCTTCATATGTAATGCTTCATAATCACCTTTCAATTTTTGAAGTCGGACCTTCTTGACCCGATCAACCCCTTTATAAGTATTCTCCAAAATTTGTCATGCTTGCATTGCGTTAGTTGCTCCAGAAATCTTCTCAAAATTTGAATCATCAATGGCTTGATGAATAATGGTGAGAGCCTTTTGGTCTTTCTTTCTATTATTTTGCAAAGTCTCTCGTTGAGCTTGATTCAAAGCCACATCCTCTGTTGGTTCTTCATAGCCTCTATCAACAATCTCCCATGCATCTTGTGAACCAAGTAAAGCCTTCATACGAATACACCAACTGCTATAATTTTCTTAGGTAAGACGAGGCACTTGGAATGGATCTAAATTGTTGTTTGCCATTTGCAAAAAACAACTCTTTTCAAACTCAGTCTCTGATACCACTTTATTGGAAGCGTGTGATGGACACTTGCTAATTTAGAATCAACAAGACCCGTTTGAGAATAAACAACTTCACTTGTATTGAAAAATTTCTCACCAAATACACACTTGATTCACAAACTCTCTTGTTTTTCTTCTCCACACACTTGCTTGAAATATAACAAGAGATCATCCTATTTGTAAGACTCTGTGGAAGAATCTAGATCCATAAACTCCATCCTATGAATCTATACATACATGAACACACAATTAGCTTATCTAAATACATGAATGTACTAGTTCATGTACATGTATCATATACCTAGGAATGTATATGCATAATGTATCTAGAATAATACATGTTTAAAACAGCATCAACCCGATCCACTAAAGATTCTACTGCCTCTAATGCAGTAGTCAGTACACTCTTTATCACGCTGAAGAAGCCTTTGCCTCTACTGAGAGCCGATTTTATCATCTGTTGTGTACAAGAAAAAGACACAGACTCCACAAATAGTCCAAGAGCATCAAGATGTCTGTACACCGGTAATGGTGGAACTTGAACAAGAGAAACCAAGAGAAAGAGAAGAGTAAGCATGTGGAGAGTGAATAATTCAGACATAAGGGAAAGTGAGAGAGTGTACCTGAGAAAACATCAAGAGGTAGAAAGTGCACAAGTATAGGTTGAGCGAGATGTTGAAGAGAATGAGAGAGCCCAAAGTCAAGAAAACAAGGAAAAGAAACAGAAGGATAAGGAGTCTATGCCAATGGTGGGCCATCTAGGGCACCCTCGAGCCAGTCGAGAAACTCTTGGAAGAATAAGAAATTATAAGAGAAGTGCTAGAAGAACTAAGAGGGAAAGAAAGGAGGAGGAGCAAGGAAAATAGAAAGAAGGAATGGGAGAAAGCTAGTGATTTGGAGTAAACTAAGTTTGAGAGGTGTTGTATGCCTTGAATTTCTTCTGTTTTATCATCTTCTTCATTTGCTGATTCTCTGCCATTTTTATATTATGCAATATTTCATTTTTATGTGATTAGGAGTCCCTCACGTATATCTTTACTTGGTCAACTTTGATACTTGCAGGATATATACCTACGTATATATATAAATAAGGGAGAGTATTATTCCCCTGTTAACTCACCTATATAATAATGCGAGAATTTCATTTAATAATAGGGGTAAAGACCCTTTCTTTATTTGGATATATATTATATAGTTTCACGAAAATTCAAGAACATACACCCGTTCCAAGAGATACATACATTTGTAACTCTTCTTCCTCTCAATCTTTAAATTGCTTTTGAAGAGCATCAATGACGTGCTTGTCAACTTGGAAGGCCTTCATAAGAACATCAATGGAGATTGGAGGATCAGATCCAAACACAGCATTAGCAATGGTGATAACACCTGGGTTTTGGCTGCTGAGTCCAGCGAAGGCAAGAGCTGGGCCATGACCAACATTGAACTGGAAGTGGATGAGACCAATGGGAAACACAAACACATCTCCTTTGTGAAGCACTTTGGTGAAGAGTTTGTTGGGGTTGGAGGTCACAAAACCGACGAGGAGAGTGCCTTCGACGACAACGAGAATTTCAGTGCCTCGTGGGTGGGTGTGGGGTGGGTTAAGCCCATATGGAGCATAGTCCAGCCGAGCCAAAGAGATGCCAAGAGTGTTGAGTCCAGGGAGTAGGTCAACATTTACTAGAGTCACATTGGAGCCCTGTTTGTTCATTGTGTTTCCAGGAATGTTAAGTCCTCGAAAAACAAAGTCTTCAGCTTTCACAAGCTTTGGGTCCTTGCAGAACTTCCCATTCACAAACACTGAATTCCACCAAAAACAAAAGATAAAAAAGGTGAAATAATAAATACATAAATAAGGCTCTGTTTGATAAGATTCGAATAAGATTGGTTCTTTAGATTTATGTGTGAATGTAGGTGGAAACCAATTATGCATTCGTGGTCTTATGTTTTATACATTTGTACACATGAAGATGAAATGCACATTTACGTGAGGTTACGTGAGAAAGTAAATGGGAAAAAATTACATTTGTCGTACTTTAATAACTAAGTCCAATTGTAGCATAGTTCGGTAGATAACACACTATTATTATCATTATTAATATAATTACTACCCTTAGATATATTTTTGTATGACAATAGTTCAAATTTGTAAAATACCATTTCCGTCCACTCCCCTTAATAAAAAGA